AAGGAAGAATGTTCCAACAAAGGTTGTTGTTGAAACCAGTGGTGATAATGCTGATGTGGATCAGCCTGCGAAGAAGAGAAAGTCGAGTGAGACTGTTAAGCCTGAAGGAGACCCACCTATCCGTCAAGTGTTCAAGACTCTGCGTTCATCTGTTAAGCAACAAGGACCTACTGCTGCTCAAGCTACATCTGCACCAGCCTCCTCAGTCAGAAAAGGGAAACCGACCACAAGGTCAAGAGGTCGAAGTGTAACTCCTGAGGTTCCACCTGTTGAAGGATTTGACACAACTGTTTACAAACCTCAGTTTGTATCCCCTGCTGCATAGACCAAATGGGTCACTATGGTCAGAAGGGAGCTTATTGTTCAAAGAACTGTGGATGAGAATCAACTTAACTCCGTTTGTGACATTCTGCCCTTGCTGAATGAAGTTGGTCTTTTGAAAACTGTTACAGATGTTTGTCCTTACTCCAAGCTGCTCACATATGAATTCTATTGCAATCTCAGTGATGAGATTGACAGTCTCACAGGGCCACGACCGATGCAGATCTTCATCAGAGGGAAGTGGTATGATTTTGGGCCGGATGTGATAAATAAGTACTATGGCTTGCCTGCAAGAAGAAGTTGTTACTGAATGGGACTTGGTGGCCAAAACTCTTACTGGTGGACAGACTACATCTTGGCCTACAGGAGATAAGGACTATTTGCTGAGCTCGCATCTCACGTCTAGATATGTCATCCTACATCGCCTGGCTCTGCACAACTGGCTTCCATCAGCTCATTTCAACACAGTTGGCAAGCTTCTGGCAGGGTTCTTATTTAGAATTGGAACTAAAATGCAGTTTGATCTGGGCAAATGGATTTATTATCATGTTCTAACTCTGATTCATCCTCGGGAACAGAAGGTAAAACTACCGTTTCCAAATCTTATTTTTGGCATCCTTACCTCTCAGGGTCTTAAGCCTATGCCCAGTGAAGTGATCAGTCCGACGCTGCTCTATACTGTTGATAAACGCCTCCTTTCTGGAGATCATATTAAAGATGTCGTTCATGTGACTGCCTCATCCAATTCGGAACCTGATGTTGTGAATGATGAGTCTCCTCATGCTAAAGATATGAAGCTTTCCGAACAATTGAAGGCACGAATTGCTGATCTTGAGACGGTGCACGGTATCATTGCCAAGCAACTGACAGGTGCGCGTACTGAGCTGGCTACTGTTCTTCTCCAGCTGAGCCTGACTGATATTGCTGCTGCTGCGGATCCTGAGAAGACTGACAGTGACTCTCCCTCAAATGCTTGATCTTTGGCTACCTTTGGCAAAAAGGGAGAGTAGTATGAACTCAGGGGGAGTTTTTGTGATTGAGTACCTTCTGGCCCTGGCTGGGCGTTATATTTTGATGTTGTTTTTTATCTTAGACTGCTTTGTTTTTTTTTATTCAAATCGGACATGGGTTGCTTCTTTTTAATAACCTATCTTAGTTCTTTTTATATAGTTGAGTTGTTTTGCCAAATAATAGTCAAAGGGGGAGTTTGTTAGTGTTTTTATGTTCAAAAACCCCATATTATAATTGACAATATTATTATGGCATACTAAGATAGGTTTAGAGTTTGTCCCGTTGGTTCTACAGATATCTGATCAATCAGAAGCAACAACAGAAGAACTGACACTGAAGATCTGACTTAGGGAAGCTGTTTCCTTAAGAGGCTCACGTGGTATTATCAGCCCAGTATGGAAAGACGATCAGCGTATCTTCAAAGAAGGTAATGGACCTAATCTGCTAAGATTACATTCCTCTTTTATAGTCCTACCTTCTACAATCAAAGATATCTATGGAGAGTGTTTATTGAAGGATCTATAAGTACCAGTTCTTGAAGGGAACTAGGGTTACGCCGAATAAGAAGAAGAAACACTCCATATCAGCTTTATGAGACAGATCCTTGATTGTCATGCACCTTCTCAATACAACATGTTCACGGTGATTAAGATGATGAACTTGAGAAGAGTTATTGCTGCTTAAACGAAAGGACACTAAGATCACACTGTTGTGGGAACAACCTTATAGAGCGTCACTGAAGTGGACTGCATCAGAGTGGGCTCTCCAAGTGAAGGGATTTCATTGGACTTCTATATGCATGGCTCTCCATCTTCAACAATCCACTAAACCTGTGTAGACTGGGTTTGTACCTTGTGTGGGGCACTTGGGTAAGATTATTGTATATCTACCTTTGTACATTGGATTATGATTTAGTGGATTGGACGCCTATGTGATCGTCCCCCAGACGTAGATACACACCGTATCGAACTGGGTAAACATTGTGAGTGTTCGTTCTGTGTGTTTGTTTTTATTTCTCTGATGTTCTCTTCATGATCTATCATTACCGAGTAGGCGCTTAACTGAATCAATCAGTATTCTAAGTCAGCCAACTATTTCTGATATTTTACGTAAAATGAGGAAATGCAAAATTACAGCTTCATATGGATTTTTTCAGATTAGTAGATCTAGTAAGCTTAAGTTGAAGAAAATATATGCTAGTGGTAGTAGATGACAGACACACTAGGTATATATACTTGGACAATCTTCATGAAAAGGAAGAATGAAGTTAAGAAGAAACTTCCTGAGCTCATGCGCCAAATCCGAAATGATCAAAATTCAAGTATAGTAAAGATAAGATATTATCAAGGACATGAATTTGGCAACCATGCCATCAAGAAATTTTGCAACGATCATAGGATTCAACATCAACTTTCCGCAGCAAGGATACCAAGACAAAATGGAGTAGCCGAAAGGAGAAATAGGACTTTCAAGGAGGCCATAAGGCTAATGATATCTCAAGCCTACCTAAGAGATTTTTGGCTAAAGTTGTTAACACAACATGTTTCACCCAAAATAGAACATTGGTTCATAAAGCTCATGGAAAGACTTTGTATGAACTATGGAAAGGGAAAAAGTCAGTGGTAAGCTACTTTCATACGTTCGTAGCAAGTGCTTCGTGCATAATAACAGAAAGTCTTACCTCTTGCCTCAATGAAAAAGGCATGGCCATGCCAATCAAGGTGGTGAGCAAGTTTCCAATGCCCATAGCCATGCTATTTTGCGACATTTTTTCCATGTTCTACTGTCTGGTACTCTGATTGCACATCTGCCTAGGGCTAGGCTTACCCGAACCGAACCAGTTCAGTCTCAAACCGAAGTACCGATCGTTACTTGGTTTGAGGAAACCGATCGGTTCGGTTCGGGTCGATTCTGATCGGTTCGGTTCGGGTCGATTCGGGTAAAACTCGAACAGAACCGAAAAACCACTCGATTTTCTTTTTTCTTTTATTATTATAATAATAATAGATATATAATGTATTAAATGTCCAAGGTGAGGTTTAAACCCTTAATCATTTAATAATTATGAAGTAAGAGCTTTACCCATTAAGTTATAGCCACATTGTATCCATATTCACATTTGTATGCTAATAAAGGTATACATTTTTCATTAAATGTTGTACACTTCAATTATAATGGACAAAATTGTCCCTACTACATTCTTGTTAGACAAAAGTACCCTTACACCGTTATAACACCTTTACTATTTAATTCTAACTTTTATAACTCTATCATTATGATCATACACATATATCTTTTTCCTATTCTTTAATTATCATTTTATTAAAATCATTATATAATTACTTTAATTATTTATTATATTTTAATTAAATTTCTATGAATGGTAAATCGTGTGTGTGTGTGTGTGTGTGTGTATATATATATATATATATATATATATATATATATATATATATATATATATATATATAGGCACGCACGCACACCAATCTATGTGACCGAGTACTAGATTAGTATTATAGATATTTTATTTATTTATTGTAAAAACAAAGTATAAATTATATCAAAATTGTTTACATTATTAATAAAAAATATATATATAAATTTTGTTCATCTCTATAATTTTCAAATACGATGATTAAAATTTACTACTTCAAGGAATTTTGAAATATAATTTGAACTATAACTTGTAATTATTTGCATTTATCAATTTTTTAATGTTTGGCATAAATTTTCACGCACCGCGAGTACAAAATGCTAGTATTATATATAAATATTATAATAATTAATAATTTCAACTCCTCACGTCCTCAGACCTCAACTCTAAGTCGTAAGTCCCAACATTTAGTGATTTAATAATTCTTATTTTTCAAATATTAACTATGTAGATAGATGATTCGAACCGAACTCTATTGTTAAACCGAATGGTTTAATTTTTTAAAAACCGAAACTGAAACCGAAACCGAAAAAAACCGAACCGAAACCCGAAATACCCAGCCCTACATCTGCCCATACATCCGTGCCATGTACAGTATTTAAAGGGTTTTTTTTTTTTTTTTTAATAATTTGGAGGGCTTTCAAATTTTAGATAGTCCTAACTTATTTCTCCTCATTTCCTGTCATTTCTTTAACTTAGATTAGCATTAGATTAAATCTCATTAACACTTTCCAAGCTTGTATTCAAGGATTTCACTATCAATTTTGGAGTGCTTCATCTACTTTTTACGGAGTAATAGATAAGTTTATCCTTCATTTCATTTCTCTTCTGCTATGTTTATGCTTTCCATTTATGTTTTTACTTTATTTGTGTTAAATATGTGAATAGTAATTGTATTTAGCACTTGGATTAGGCCGTTAGAATTTATTGCATAAAGAGGTAGAAACTCAAGCTAAGGTTAACATTTGTTAAGGAATTGTGATTAATGTGTGGTCTGCAACACACTCATTAGCTTACCGTCTTCCCTAGTTTGGGGAATATGATCTCTTACTACTTCCCTAGCTTCTTGCATATTTTCTAAACTTGGTATCAAAAAATGACATTTCACCCATACAGTCTTAATTCAATTTCTAGAGGACGACATTTCACCTGTACACTCTGCTACATCATGTTTAAACTTAAAAGACATAACATCAAAGAATTCATGGAGAACTTCATAGTACTTTTGACGTTTAAATTCAATAGCAACAGAATCTCGACTGTCCAAATGCATAATTAATCAAGCATTTGAGTTGATACAAAAATCCATTTGTATACATTAGCTATCCCAGGAAAATGACAAGAATTTTTCTAACGAACAGTACATACAAGGACGGACTTTTGGACAAATTGCAACCAAAACCATGATTCTAAACCTCTAATCAAATATCAATCTTTCAACGAATGAAATAACATAATTATCTGAGTTATACTGTAAGAACTTTATGAAGCTAAAAGGCGAACGCTGAGATAATCACATTCAGCTCAGTAGCTTCCAAAATCAAACCAACTTTTCTGGAAAAGCATTGACCAAAGGGTTCCTGCATGAAGGTAGAGGTTTCCTATAAAGCAAGAATCAACAAGTCTATCTATACAAGCCTCTAGCCAGCTGGAAGCATACATCAATGTGATTTTGGATTGGGATTTCGAAGAAATTAACTCATGTGAACTTGGAATGGTTGACCTTTTCAAGTGAACATGATACCAACAGATTTCTTTATAATCATCAAGTTCAAATTTCAAATGGCCTCCATATCAATACATTCCCTTAAATACAGGGTTTGTGCGGCATATGCTGGCTCCATACTCCTCATACTCTGCTTTCGTATGGCAAGCCTGCAGAGATAGCAACATCTTTATCAAGTCATTCAAAAGGACTAGATTGGTTTAGTGCAAATGGAACAAGGAAATGTAGGGTCAAGCATAAGAGCTAAGAATTTGAAAAGCAGTCCTAATAAAATAGTTATGAACAAATTCCACTTTCAGTCTTCGACTATTGTTACATTACCACATTTAGTCCTACTCTTTTAATTTTGCATTATTACATCCTTGACTTCCATTTCCTTGGCACAATTAGTCATCTGTTTAAATTTATGGAATTCCACCTTTTAGCAAAGAGGTTAATAATGTAATTCATCATTCAAGCCTCTTGCCCCAAAATGTAATTTCTCACCCTTTCTTGTAAACTCTTTTAATTAAATGATGAAATTATATGTTAGCCCTCTTTATTAATGGTGGAATGATAAATTTAAATGGAGGATTAATTGTTGCAAGTAAATGAAAATCAAGTATGTAATGAGGCAAAATTAAAAGAGTAGAACTAATATGACAATGCAACAATAGTCGAGAACTAAAAGTGGAACTCGCTCAATAGTTATCTTCTCCAATCTTGATGCAAAGTGTACAACCTAAATTTTTAACACCATCTTACATTAATACATTATACATATTTATTGAACAAAAATTGTTAAAAAGCTCAATGTAGTTCAACTCGTTGCAAGAACCTGGGTTACAAAGGCCTAATTTCAAGTTCTAAGGTTGCTTGGGAACCTCCCAAAACAGAATCAAGATTAGGATCAACCATTGTTGAGCAATGAGTGGGCAAAATGAATCTGAATTAGTGTAGCTTTGTTTTGGCCTTTCAATCCAGTCCAGATTTTCTTTGTCTCTATGGAACACACTAAGTATTATTGCCTATATGTACATTGAAGATCTTGGGCGGATAATAATTTAGTAAAGCTTATGGTGAAGTGCGGAGAGCTAAGAGCTTATCGAGTGATTTCGTTGAGCCCAAGAGTGATGATGCAGTGTCCTTCCATCATTGATTGTGGAGCCTTTTTATAGTGGAAGAATGACTGAATGTGAGGGACTTTTGGCTGCCATCATGGTCGTTCATGATGGATAATGGCTCGTGAAATAATGTGGTGTAATGGCTATTCATGGAGAGTAATGAACTTATTCATAGTAGAAATAATGGGAATAACAGGGATTTATGATAGAATAACTGGTGGTATAATGGGTATTTAGGGTGGAATATTGCTTTAACAGTTAGTTTGACTCTGCCGGCTTCATTGGGTCAATCTCGCAAGTTGAGTCATCTATCTTTCACCCGATTGAACTGTGGAAATATTAGAATTGATATGTGGAAATATTAGAATTGATATGTGAAAATATTAGATTGATATGCATATATTCTTAGGATCTGTAATTAGTGATATGATTTTATTCTTTCCCTAGTTTAGTGATCTTTTTATTTACTTTCCTTGATTATAGGATTCTCTTCCCTATAATCAATCCTCTTCTTTGTATAAATTAGGGCTTGTATTTTTCAATTGAGAATAAAACAATTCAGAATTTCTAACATGGTATCAGAGCCTGACTCTAAACCCCTAGCTCTTCTCTATCCTCCCTCACCAAATCTCTCCAGCAACTATGTCTAAACCTATTGAAACCCTTCCAGTTGATTCCTCACCTTTAGATGGGTCATCACATCCTTCTCACTCGACTGTCACAAATCATCCTAACCTTCCTCAAGTCCTTGATAGTTCTCCTCTCCCAATCACCTCTCATAAGCTCAACGGCCACAACTACCTGCCTGCTGATTGGAAACCCAAACCCCGTACTGATCAATCCCGTGCTAATGTGGCTGCAACCTCTGAAACATCACCAAATGAAGTCAGTCCTTTCTCAAAAATTCAGCTTGAGGCGCTACAAAAGCTTTTTGGGCAGATATCTGTTGCACAACAGTCAATCCCACCTTCCGCTGAAGCACATGTTAGTATGATGAGTCATCAAGGTACCACTTCTCACGCATTTGCTACAAATTCCAATAACACAAGTCCTTGGATTGTGGATTCCGGGGCATCCGACCATATGTCAGGTGATTTAAAGGTTTTTCATACATTCAAACCTTGTACCAATCCCACCACGATCAGAATTGCTGATGGATCCCTCTCTAACGTGATAGGAACAGGATCCGTCAAATTAACTGATGAACTTTTTCTTTCATCTGTTCTCTTTGTTCCTAAATTAAGTTGCAACCTTCTTTCCATCAGTAAACTCACTAGAGACATGAATTGTGTAACTAAATTCTATCCTAAGCTTTGTGAATTTCAGGTTGTGGGCTCGGAGAAGGTGATTGGCAGTGCTGAAATTTGCGATGGTCTCTATATTCTAAAAAACACTCCTGAAAATAAACATTTCCCCAAGTCAAATTATGGTTTCAATTCTGTTTCTGTCTCCAATGAGAGTCTAGTCATGTTGTGGCATTTTCGCCTTGGACATCCAAATTTTGTTTATCTTGAAAAACTATTTCCTGGTTTATTTATCAATAAAAAACCCAAGTTTTTTCATTGCGAAGTGTGTCAACTTGCAAAACATACTCGAAGTATTTATTCAAGCAATCCTTACAAACCTTCTCAACCTTTTTCGTTGATACATAGTGACATTTGGGGGCCTTCAAGGGTGAAAAATGTTAATGGTTCTAGATGGTTTGTATCCTTCATTGATGACCACACTAGGACCACATGGACTTTCCTCATGAAAGAAAAATCAGAAACTGCATCAATTTTTAAAGCTTTTCATTCCATGATTCAAAATCAGTTCAAACAAAAAGTTAAAGTTTTGAAAACTGATAATGGGACAGAATACTACAACTCAATTCTTGGTCCATACTTGTTAGATCAGGGAATTGTCCATATTAGTTCCTGTGTCAACACCCCTCAGCAAAATGGAGTGGCTGAGAGAAAAAATAGGCACCTCCTTGAAGTCTCTCGGTCCATCATGTTTTCAAATCATGTGCCTAAACACTTTTGGGGGGAAGCTGTACTTACTGCCACTTACCTCATAAACCGTATGCCTAGTAGTGTCTTAAAGTTCAAGACACCACGCTCCTTGTTACTACAAGCATTCCCTCACCTCTCAGTTTTTTCCTCGGAATTGCCACTCAAAATTTTTGGTTGTACTGCTTTTGTCCATATCTATGATCACAAAAGAACAAAACTTGACCCCAAATCACACAAATGCATGTTCATTGGGTATTCTAATACTCAAAAGGGGTACAAATGTTACTCTCCAATCACAAAAAGAGTTTATTATACTTTGGATGTCACCTTTTTTGAACACCAATCATTCTTTCCCAAATCTGGTATTCAGGGGGAGCATTTGAGCAAATATCAACTTTGGGAAACACTTCAAGATAATCAGGCTACCTTTCCTTCACCTAATGTCCTACCATACCAGCATCAACCTACTCCAACTCAACCTGATTTATCACCTACATCATCCAGTTCTCTATTACCTCTTTCATCAGATGTGACTCCAGAAAACATGGTCAATCAGCCGTCATCCTCTCTTCCTACAATCAACCCATCTTCGCCTCTAATAAACAACCATCCATCCTCAGAAAACACTCTACCAAATTCACCTCCTCAAGCACCAGAACTCCGTGTTTATAGAAGGAGAAAACTTCAAAATATAGAGGCTAACATGCAAAGCCAGGACTGTTCAAACACACATTCGAGCTTACGTGACCTTGAAAATCATGAAGGTAAGGACTCTATGACCCATGAGTTGGTATCTACTGCTATTGATGATCTTGATTTGCCTATTGCTCAACGAAAGGGTGTTAGAACATGCACTAGTCACCCAATAGAAAGGTATGTTGCTTATGGGAAATTAACTCCTATGTATCGAGCCTTTGTTGCCTCTCTTGATCTTGTCCAGATTCCCACAAACATCTACGAGGCACTAAGAGATCCCAAATGGAAGGTTGCTGTCAATGAGGAAATAAATGCTCTTGAGAAGAATGGTACATGGCGTCTTGTTGAGTTACCTCAAGGAAAACATGCAGTTGGATGTAAGTGGATTTTCACTGTCAAGTATAATTCAGATGGGAGTATCAACAGATTCAAGGCTCGGTTGGTTGCCAAGGGGTTCACTCAATCATATGGTGTTGACTATCAAGAGACCTTTGCTCCTGTTGCCAAACTCAATACAATAAGAGTTCTGTTATCACTTGCTGTGAATTGTGATTGGCCTTTATATCAGCTGGATGTAAAAAATGCATTCTTAAATGGAGAATTGGAAGAAGAAGTTTATATGGAAATTCCACCAGGTTTGAAAAAGAACTCCAATGGACGACTGGTATGCAAACTACAAAAATCTCTCTATGGCTTGAAACAATCACCTCGGGCATGGTTTGATAGGTTTGCAAAGTCAATTGTAAAATTTGGATACACTCAGTGTCAAGCTGATCATACCCTGTTTGTTAAAATCTCTTCAATAGGAAAGCTAGCAATTCTCATTGTCTATGTGGATGACATAATCCTAACGGGAGATGATTTAGGTGAGATTTCAAACCTCAAGAAGTTTCTTGCATCAGAATTTGAGATCAAAGATCTAGGATTCCTCAAATACTTTCTTGGGATGGAGGTAGCTCGATCTAAGGAAGGGATTGTTATATCTCAGCGAAAGTACATCCTAGATCTTCTAAACGAAACTGGAATGCTTGGAAGTAAGCCAGCAGACACTCCAATGAACCCTAACTTAAAAACAAATCGGAGTGGGGAACCAATTCCAGTAGAGAGGGGGAGCTATCAAAGATTAGTGGGAAAACTAATTTATCTCTCCCACACCAGACCTGATATTGCTTTCTCTGTTAGTGTTGTAAGTCAACATATGCATAACCCTAATGAGGAGCATTTGGAAGCTGTTTATCGTATTCTAAGGTATCTCAAAATGACACCAGGTCTTGGTTTGCACTTCAGAAAACATGACAACCGAGACCTAGAAGTCTACACGGATTCTAGTTGGGCTGGAGAGTTGACTGATAGACGATCGATTAGTGGTTACTGTACCTATGTATGGGGAAATCTAGTCACTTGGCGCAGCAAAAAACAGTCAGTTGTCTCTCGGAGTAGTGCAGAATCAGAATATCGTGCTCTGGCATTAGGTATATGTGAGGGGATGTGGATTAAAAGGTTGTTGAATGAGTTGAAAATTGAAGCTCCTACATCTTTCAAAATGTACAGTGATAGTCAAGCTGCCATCAGCATTGCTAAGAACCCGGTTCATCACGATAGAACAAAGCACGTTGAAATAGACAGGCACTTCATTTATGAGAAGGTGAATTCGAGGATCATTGAACTCAACTACATTCCTACAAAGAAACAGATTGCCGACATCCTTACGAAGGCTCTACCTAGAAGGAGCTTTGAAGAATTCAATTCCAAGCTGGGCTTGTATAATATATACAACTCAGCTTGAGGGGGAGTGTGGAAATATTAGAATTGATATGTGGAAATATTAGAATTGATATGTGAAAATATTAGATTGATATGCATATATTCTTAGGATCTGTAATTAGTGATATGATTTTATTCTTTCCCTAGTTTAGTGATCTTTTTATTTACTTTCCTTGATTATAGGATTCTCTTCCCTATAATCAATCCTCTTCTTTGTATAAATTAGGGCTTGTATTTTTCAATTGAGAAAAAAACAATTCAGAATTTCTAACATGAACAATGTTGTAAAAATAGCTAGGCCCACATTGGGCATTTGATGGGCGCCTAGTGCCTAGGCCTCCTAGGTGCAAAACCTTTAAAAAAAATTTTTTTTTTTTTTTTACGTAAGGCACCCTGATTTTTTAGACTTCTAACAAGCATTCCTCCCAAAAAATATAAATGTTCAATAGCACATAATACTCTAAAAACACATGATACTTTAATCATAACACATACAAACAAAACAAACAAATATTTTTAAAAATAATAATAATGGCCACTTAGGCCGCCTAGTTCACCGACTAGTTGGTCAACCTCCTAGTTGGCCAATTTTCCATTATTCCACCGGCCATGGGGCACCTAGCGCCTAGGCTGATTTTTACAACACTACAATTGAGTGGGATATTATCCCATCAGTACCAAACAAGAAACTTTTGAATTTTAAATTATGATGAAACCAGACTACCAAAACTTGAACAAGAAAGCAAGAAAAGTCAAGTATTTTACCAATATAAACAAAATATTTTCTGAAACACAACCCTAAGACAATAGGTAAAAGAACGGAATACTTATATAATTGTCAAAAGAAAATTGAAGAATCAAAAAAAAAATTAGACGTGTCATCAACATACCGCAAAAAATTCAGGAGTGGATGCAAGCACAGATCCTCCGAACCAAACTGCATATCTCTGTATTGGATGGCTGACCACATTTACTTCCACCGGTTGTGCCTAACAGTGAAAATTTCCATTAGGTCTTTCATAAATAATATATATATAAGGTGAAAAAGGAAAAGAAGTGCATTAGCCAGTTTGAAGTATAAAATAAGGGAAGGTAAAAAGATCCACACTTTGATTTCTCCACCCAACCGAGCATCTGATGCAAGAACACGAGCATCAACTATCTTCTTTAAATCTCGTTGCAATCTTCTATGGAAATCTTTGAACATGGTTGATCCGCCAGACAAAACTATATTCTGAAAATTGTGCACATATTATAACTTGTAGATCCAGATTATATGAGGGATTCTAGATATCAAGAAACAAATCTTCAACAGAACCCCAATTCAATTTATAGACAAATTAACTTCACCTTGTACAGGGCTCTTCTTGTGTCTATTGGTGCAGACTGAATGCATTTGTCTATTATAGCAGGCAGAGGAGTAGTAAAATCACTATTGTAAATCTCGGGATTGAAGAAAACCTGACAGGCAATCAAACCTTTATGTCAATAACATATTCTGTGATTCTGTCTGCCAATGCACAAGTCACAACCAACCCACTGTTGTAAAAATCAGCCTAGGCGCCCCTAGGCCGTTCCGCTTTCACTACTAGGCGCCCAAAAATCGGCCAGGTGCCTAAGCGGCCAGCTAGGCGGCGAAATCGGTCAAAATCGGCTTAGTCGGTCAACTCGGCCGAGTCGGTTGATTTCTTCCGATTTTGACCAATTTCGTCTAATGTTGTCTGGTGCAGCCGTCCGTAAACTAGTTTGATACTTTGAATCTTTGGATGATTTCATATTTGAGTATTTTTATTTTTTAATATTGTTTTGATGTTATGACTTACGAATTATCATTATTTCATTTATTTGGATGTGTTATTTGATTGAATGTTGAAAACAGTCTCATTAAAATTGTTAAACTGCAAGTCTGCCACTATTATTTTGGCACCCGCCTAGGCGCTAGGCTCTGCCCGGGCACTCGACTATCGCCTACTACAATCATGAACCAACCTCTACAAATCCAGCCATTCCAAGAACCACCTCATTATATTTAGCTGATATTTCTCTAAATGTGTATGTGTGTGTGTGTGTGTGTGGGTGTGGGTGGGTGGGTTGGGGGGGGGGGGGGGGGAGGGGGCGGTTATAAATGTTAAAATCACTTGTAAATAATCAGAACATTGAGTGCAGAGGATAAAACAAACCTCAGGACCAAGAAACCGTTCATAGCCAACATCACAAGAATATGGTGCCCCTGTTTTGGGTTTTGTACCTCTCCATTGTTTAACATATTTTGCCGGTTCTTTGTCATGCTTATTAAACTCCTGAAATCATGAATTAGGTCTTAATATCAGTCATTATAAATCATATTAAGTTTCTGATAAGAAAACAATGCATGATAAGCACAAAACTTGCACAATCAATTCACAAACATAAATATGAAGTAAAGGAAACTGCATAATGAAATTAGGTTTAGATTCTTCATGGTTCAAAACCAAGAATACTAAGAGACCAAGGATTGGGAACCAGGCTAATAAGGAATTATTTCAAGTTCTTTTTCCATTCAAATTTTCCCATGAATCCTATATTTTTTATTATTATTATTATTATTATTATTATTATTATTATTATTATTATTATTATTATTATTATTATTATTATTATTATTTCAGTAAGCACCCAAAAATACTGTATTCTTCCTTTACCAATGCCATTATGGAGGCTGACATCAACAGAAATACCTTGACAATGTCAGAGCAAGTGTAACAGTACATTTCTTTTACTTTCCGGGCTACTTCAAAGGAATCCTCAGGGGGAACATGCTCACCTCTTTCCTACATTAAACAACAGCAAAGGAAAATTTAGCAGTTAGGTCCATTGTTCTGTAAGAGATCCCTTGACTTAATTCAAATACAGCATATGCCATGTACCAATGAGAATTTTCAAAAACATAGTAATGTCACCAGAAACAACCATCCCCAAGAGTGTAGAGGTTATAACATTAAAGTGTCATTAGGAAAGTATTGAAAAACATGCAACTAAAGAGCTATGAAAGGGTATATCAAAGGCAGAGAAGTAGGTTTGTTTAAATACAGAGAAATTTCTAACTTCTGAGAGAATCCTTGACCACAGCCATATTACAGTACCCATGCAAAAATAAGCATATTTACTCTGGACAATATAAGAAAGTAATTTCAATAAAACAACAAAAAAAGCCCATGTTTGTTCTATGAATTGAGGCACTAATGCACTTATCAAATTAATGTGAAAGGAAGTGCAATGAGGATGGAGTAATAGTCGTGTCTTCTTATGCAATGCACAAAGGTTTACATCTGGGGAGTTATTATCATTGCAATCATCTTGGGAATCAATGCTCCAGGCCGAATAGAGCTTGGAAAGCCTATGGGGAAAATAATACCCAAGGGGCTAGAAGCTGAAATAGAGCATGAACCATAGGCATTCTATTCAGCATCATTGAAACAGAGCTAATGGACATGCAATATAGATAGCAGTTGGTTGGTTATCGTGTCTCTCAATGGGAACTGTATCGATGGCTGTACCACGGTCATTTTTATCCCTTTAACAAGAGACAGCTAAGCTAAGATATATTATTGTAATTGTTTGCATATCTCTAATTCATTCAACTATATAGTAGGCAAGTACAAGTCAAATATTGTGACTCAGTAGATACAGACCCGCATAAGCTGCTGAATAAAGAGAGTAACATCTCGGCCAGCAATCGGAATTGATTTAATGCTGCTCCCAATAACATAACCTTCTGCAACAGGTACAACATGTGTAGCCCCATCTCCAGCGTCCAAAACTACCCCTGTCATCTCACACTAAAGAAGAGAACAAATTGCATTAAAATATTGAGAGGTTCATAATTTTATCAAAGCAACAAATTGTCCAAACATCACTCAATAACAACTCTTTCAGCTCAGCTAAGCTCTAATAAGAAGGCTGTCCAAGATTCTTTCTTAAACCTACAACAGAGGATAAAATTTACTGCTTTAAATCGGTTCCCCTTCAAATGAATACAAACCTTAGATGCTGTGTACCCAGCCGCTAAAGCAAGAACAGGTTGCACTCCGATATAAAGCCCAGGAACATTGAACGTTTCAAACATTATCTCTCCAGTGTACTCCCGACTCTCCGGCGCAGTCATGGGGCTCTCAGTTAAAAGAAAATAGTGATCTTCAGGATCACACCGCAGGTAATTGAAGATACATTGCTGCCAGAATCGCTCCATAGCATCCCAATCATCGACCTGGCCGTGCTTAATCGGATAACTAAGATTGTAAGTATTACTAGATTTAGATCTGGCCAACGCCTCATCGCCAATATAGAAATCCAGATCCGCCATAACCCCAGCGCTATGCTGGGCTAACCAGTTGCTGCTCTTGGTCGAAGTCCGCGGCTGATTCACGAACGAATCATTAACAGCAACCACCGTTGGGAGAATGAAACACGGCTCCACGTTCCCGGCAAACCCCATCTTCGTGTACCTGAAAACAGCAAACAATCGTCAAGATCATCCCAACCGAAGAAATACAATACGTCGAACACCTTGTGAGCGGAAAAGAAACAAAAGCATTTGAACCGCAAATTCGCGTACCCAGTCCCATTATCGATGACTACAGCAGGGGGAGAGGTATCAGGGTCCATGGTATAGAAGAAAAGAAAGAGAAAATAGCTATAGCGGTGGATCCGCTGCGGAGATCCCAATAGGAGGGGTTTAAGCTTGAGGGTGATGGTAGTCGTTGAGAGGCGGTAGAGGGAAAAAAGGGACGAAACAACGACGTTGAGTGTAAGTGAAAGAAAGGGTCAATGGGAAGTGAGGGTTTCAATCCACCCATTTCATTTCATTGACAAATATAAATGAATGTGCTCTTCTTCATGTATGTAGTAGCAGTAAAGAGAAAGCTTCATTTCTTTCCATGGAAGTGAAATTGGAAAGGACACCACTACACTGCGCTGCACTTTGCACTTTGCACTTTGCTAGAGAGTAGAGGAGGAATACAAGATTCCAAATCGAAACTATTTTTGTCTCTTTATTTTTGATTCTTTGCTTTGCAATCAAACACGCCAACAACCCTTTGGGTAGTTGAATTTTCTATAATATCTTATAAATTTTAATTGAATTTATTTTCAAGCTTTTAAATTTCGCAAAAATATATAAAAAATATTTATAACTGTAATTTTTTTTTGAAATCACTACTGTAATTTTTATTACAAATTATTAAATATTATGAAAAATTTTAAATTAATTATATCTTTACAAACTTTAATTAACTTTTATATATATATATATATATATATATATATATATATATATATATATGCTCCGGATCCCATGAGGTCATATAGATGGATGCGATTATGAGATCTCTTCACATCCATTAGATCATTGCATATTAAAGGAGATTGAAAGAGATATTCTTTGCATTTAAGGTAGTAGTCTATGCATAAGGGTGAATAAGTAATTATAATATAAGAGCTATTTATGGTTACAAATAAATTGGAATATATTTCATGCTAAGCATCAACTGATTATGGGATTGGATTATTTATTAACGGTAATATATTAGTATTGATATTCTGGTGATTCCTGAACGCAATCATTCGCCAATCAGACTCAAAGTGCAGTGTGTGTTTGACATCAACGGCCACAGTGATGGCGCAAACGGACATAGGTATGTGCATCCGTATGTGAACTGTTATTGGCTTTACGATTGGTGTGCATATATTATGATGAGTCTGTGCGTCGTGAAACCGTATTGTGCAAGTTAGTGCAGTACGAAGCGTGAGTGTCTAATGAGTGCATGAGGATGGCGTTTAATGCGAATATATTTACGAAGTGGGTTTTTTGTTTTTTGTTTATTTATTGTTTATTTTTTTGTTTTTGTGTTTATGTTTTTAACCGACGGGGAGGTTTTGGATTGCGATGTAGATGTGTTGATGGGGTGTTGTGCAAATCAGAGGGTGAGGGGTTTTTTTTTTTTTAATTTATTTTTATCCCCCGATAGTAATGTGTTGGTGGTATGTGCGATATATCATGTTGGAGTGTGCAAATGTCCAATGTTTGTTTTCAATAATGTGTTGTTTAAAAATGTAGTTTTGATTGGTTTCGTTTTGTTAGCATTATTTGGGTGGAGTGTGTACATATGTTATTTTGGGTTATCCTCTACATTACATCTACGACCTTGTGTTTTTTATTTTTTTATTTTTTAAAAAAATGCATCAGCCTTTGCGAGGGATTTACTAAGCCAGGACTTGTAAATAACACGTGAAATGGACGTTATATTCACGGCCTGTGCATGTTAGGGTTTATTCCTGTGCAAGTGTCGCGTTGGGAAAGTGCAACGTAGTTACTGAGCATGTGTAACTAACGACTAAGCAGTAATAAGTTAGCGCCCTCGAATTTTTGACAGATTATTTAGGGAGCTTAAAGTTTAAGAAAGTACATGCATGCAGTGCAACCGCTGACGCCTAACATAGTGACATGACTAACTGTTAGCCGGGAGAATTTATATTTTTAAAAACAAATTAATAACCCATACGCAGATTATTTGTATAGACGATAAAAAGATGACATCTGGTTTACAATTTAAACGCTAACGAAACATATGTTACAGGTGGGTGCAGTGCAGAGGCCCCCGATGCAAACAAATCAGAAAAGGATTGCAGAATGGATATAAGCCCTGGAGGTACGAAATATTGGTATATGGAATCTTCAAACTGAGCCAACAGCCACCTACTCAACTGTTTGGGGAAATCTTCCACCTCAAGATTCAACAATTCCCCCAAGCCAATTTGAACCACTGCTTTACGTTGGCAAGCACTGAAGTGTTTAAACTGAGACACCAAATGCTTGGGCGATGCGCGAGTATTAAGAGACGGAATCACCACCTTCGCATCCCCACCAGACCCATCTCCCACCCCATCCTCATGCGCTCGTACCTGAACAGGAGTGGACATCGCGATCGGAGGAACGGAGGGAGACCCACTTTGCACCCTGGCAAAGGGTGGCTGAACTTCAACAGGGGTCGAATTGAAACCACAACGGGGGGGACTTGTTGACCTAGTTGCACAACAGACGAACCAGCACCAGGAGGGGATACAAACACCTCTGCATCGTTCGCTACAATGAAAACAATGAGACAAAGATAACGCAATAGACATAAATTATGAAAGAGTATCCAAACACACCAACAATACCACAAAGCGAATAAAAAAAAATCCATACACAGTTATGTGCACAGACCTGAATACCGTACTGCATAGACCGGGAATGGTATGCGCACAAACCAAACACACACCAGCATGGCAAAATGCACACACAGAAAACACAAATTAAAAGAACACATAGTAAACTCTTAAAAATTGTCAAATTAATGAAAAACACATATTCAAAAAACACGCAGTAAACTCTTTAAATTTGTCAAACTAATAAAAAAAACATATTCAAAAAACACAATGTCAAACGCACCCCATGCAATCAACCTGCACACATATTAAAAATAATAAAATTAAAGTAATAATAGTAATAACTTTAATTTGTGTTTTCTGTGTGTGCATTTTGCCATGCAAACGCGCACACAATCATGGCAAAATGCACACACAGAAAACACATATTAAAAAACCACATAGTAAAGTCTTAAAATTTGTGAAATTAATAAAAAACACATTCAAAAAACACACAGTAAACTCTTTAAATTTGTCAAACTAATAAAAAATACCTATTCAAAAAACACAATGCCAAACGCACACCCCATGCAATCAACCTGCACACATATTAAAAATAATAAAATTAAATGTTGGTACCGTTGGTAGAAAACACAAATAATACTCAAAAAATAAGATTATTATTTTCTGGAAAGAAGGGAAGAAAAGATGAAGAAAAGTGGCTAGTGTTTGGTGTTGGGTTTTTGCAAGAGTCAAGTGAGCACTCTTTCCTTAAAACCTTATTTGCCACCTCCCAAAGATGCTCGGAGCGTTATGGCCTAGGCTTCCCAGGATAAAACTTGCTAATGATTCAATGTTTGAGCACTCAAACAAGGAATCCGGCGAGCAAGACAATGGCTATGAACACAATAGGCCAAGAAAGAGTAGAAGCAGAGAGGTTTTGAAGCTGAAAAAACGAACTTTCGTGTTCTATGTTTCTGTGTGTAAAACTCTACTGCCTCTACCCTCTCTTATATAGGGTTGAAGAAGCCAATAGCCTTTATTATGGCAATTAAAAAATGACATTAAAGCTGTCTTCCAACAGCTATAACAGAAGGCCACTACCTGGGAATTGAATTCAGAATTCAAAATTGGAATTAATAGACAATTAATTCCGTAACAGATGAATTCAATCCCCTCAACAGTCAGAACTTTCGGGTTCCTGACCGTTAGCGTACAGGGTTCGGTCTCAACTTTCGACCTCATCCAGTTTCGGCCCTTGCACCTCTCGTGGACTCTGTTGCACGAGAGTTGTCCTCTCGGTGCACCACAACCTCTCGTGCTCTCTTGTAGCATGAGAGTAGGTGCTCTCGGTTCGGTTCTGGCCGAACCAAGTGGCTATACCAGTTGGAAAATGATACTGAAGTTAGGTGCTCTCGGTTCAGTTCTAGCCGAACCAAGTGGCTATACCAGTTGGAAAATGATACCGAAGTTTGGCATAACTTATGCCCGCAAGGCCAGCCAATTTCCGGCGCACACGAGCTCGGGCTTGAATCAAGCCTTTTTCAAGCTCTGCTAGTTGGAATTTGATTTGCACCCCCACCCCCCCCCCCCCGCGCGCAAGAGAGCCTCTATGCTATACAATTCTACAAGCTTCAAAAGAGCTCTTGTATATAAGGGGGGAAAATCTTCATTCCACAGCAATGTGGGACAAAAGCTCACTTTTTCCCTTCATTTTCCAACTCAAATGGGTCTACTTTGAGAACCAATATCTCATTCACCCATTATCCGTTTTGGGCGTACAATATATCGATCTCTTCGTCTCACTACGAAGAATCCGAATCCACTTTAACCCGACCCAAATCGGAAGTGGACCCCACTGATAATTGTACCACAAAATAGCCACTTAAGATGCCATTTTAAGCTATTTTTTTCCAACAATCCCCCACATGAATGAAAAATTGATTTTCGGGGTATTTTAAAATCGGAAACAACTGTGTTCAAACGGCCGATCCCTGCATAGGATAGGTAGGGAGTCACTATACCCTTTGAACCTTCCCTCGTGATGACATGTTTACTCTACTGGCTGTTCGGTAGAACGCGATGTCTTTGAACCGACTGCCGTTTGTGTAGACGATGACATATCTCACACAGGAATCTCCCAACCATGCTCTTGCTCTCATGAGTGTGCCCGTTTTGGTCGTGGGACACCGTTCCTGGTTCTGCGAGAGTTTCTAAAGAATTGTGCCCAACAATTCTCCTTTGAAGCGACCCTCACTTCTCTCTAACATAGGTGATTCTTTCTCGAGTATCCCGCATACTCAAGAATCATTAAAGCATTAACATGCTAGCCTCTTGCGAGAGTCACTGTTTTAACGAGGAGTGGTAGGGAGTCCGAGACCCCCACAGTGATGCGCTCTGTTCCATAATTTAGTTGTCCCATTGAACCTAGGTGCCAGCTAGGTTGGGTATCCACTATAGAACTTTTTTAGTCCAAGGGCATTAGACCCATTCCTCGTGTCAACTTCTCCACAACTTCTCTTCCTAACCCTTTGGTCAGCGGATCCGCTATATTGTCTTTTGACTTTACGTAGTCAATCGAGACAACTCCAGTTGTGAGTAGTTGTCTAATGGTATTATGTCTACGACGCACATGTCTAGACTTACCATTATACATATGACTCTGTACTCTCCCGATTGTGGCTTAACTATCGCAATGCACACATATTGGAGGTACCGGTCTTTCCCAATTAGGAATATCCTCTATAAAATGGCGTAGCCATTCAGCCTCTTCACAACCTTTGTCCAAGGCTGTCAGCTCAGATTCCATCGTGGATCTAGCTATCACAGT